AGGATGCTGGTGAGACGAGTTTAAAGAGTTGATGCAAAGTGTGCCTTTAGTGGCACTCTTCTGATGTTGTGGTTTCTCTAACTCAAAATTTACTTGTTTAAGGTGAGTCCATCACCAAAATAAGAACTGAATTAAGAAAATATCAATCAGTATGTCTGTATACAAACTAAACTAGTTCTTTTACTTTCTACACCACTTTTTAGCAATATATTTATATATTGAGTTTGAATACATATATGTGTGCATGGATGATGAAATAGTCCTTCAGAATTTATTTCATCACCTGGATAAATAGGCTTTTATTAAGACCATCTATATGCTGATCACTAGACTGGTCTCTGTGGAAAACACAAGACTCATTCTTCACCTTACAGAGCTCATACTCTAGCTTTGACTTTTCTTCTATGTCAGTGAGAATGGCTGTATAGATCAAAATAATGAATGAATTCTTACTTATGTAAAGGTGCAGCCATCTCTCTCTCATTTGTGACATAAATAATAGAGGGAACTGGGAAAACAGAAATCCATAGAAAATTCTCAGTCTTCAAACCACTCACTTTTATCTTTTCCATGTCTCGTTTTTTCCTAAAAGATTTTTTGTTTAATTTGTAAAAATAAACTGACTTACATTACACTTTGTTAGATATAGTGGTGTGGAATAAGTTTTATTTATTATTTTGTCCCTGGCATCCAGTACTGATCTTGGTTGCATTATGTACGTCAGAAAAGCTTCCTCTGATTGCAGAGGGTGTGGGTGGAATAAGGACGTTTGAGAAAAGGCAAACATAATTTTCCAGTTGGCTTGTAGAAAAACCTTCCTATTTTTTTATCCACCCTTTTGTGTTTCTTTGAGCATCTCATAGAATACTGTACATATAACAAATGTAAATGAAATAGGACCCTGCTTTTTAAGTGATAAAATAATCAAAGTGGATTATATTAATATAATATTGATGATTTATGGCTATGGTGTGTTGGTGAAGAAAAATTACATTTATTGTTCTAGTTTTCTTCTTTATTTCTTTAAGACTCTTACAGGGGCTATTTCATTTAGGGATCCACATTTATATGTGTGTGTGTGTGTGTGTGTGTTGTATGATATATATATGGTATATATATATGTACAATAAATGTATTCAGGGATGTATAAAGTATATGAGAAAGCTTCTATATATTATATATATGGAAATAAATAATATACAGAAAAGCCACTACCTTATTTTTTCTGAATAAATCTATGCTATTAAATTGCCTGAGCAAGTCAATATGCCTTTTTCCTCCTAAACAGTTCTTCCAAACTGTACTGAAATTTGCCCTGAGGATAAGCTAAAAACTTAATATGTTTTGTAACCTTGTCAGCTATGGCCATTATTTCTTTTCCAGCCATATCTTTTGTCTGTATTCCTCATCTCCATACCAACCCTTTTGTAAGCACCTCATTCCCCTATTTTGGAGTCTTTGCAGCCGTTGTTTCAGGGCAAACTCCTACTTATCTTCTGTCCAAGAGTTGTGATCACTTTACTTGAGAACCCTGCCCTGATATCCTGATTTTTAATAGGTGCCCATGTTATGCTTCTCATACCTACCCTTACCATAGTCCCTACCATATTGTCCATTCCTTTGTCATTTACAATAGCCTTTTCTGTTTGATTGTAGAGACCACATCTTCCACCGTATACTTGGAGTTGGCATGTAGGCTCTTTCTGATTCAGCATTAATTAATTGAGAAGTAAATGAAAGACAATAAATAAGACAAAAAAATTTTAATGGGTGAAAAAGAATGAAGCCAAAATGATTAAAATTCCTTGTGAACATTGTAGAAATTGATTAGATTATTGAAAATTGCTCCTTTCATTCTGTATGTCTCTAGAGTAGCATTATATTCTATCTGTTTCTGTTTCTTGGCAGCAATTCCCACATGTTAATTTATTTGCATCCTAAACCATAACTTTTATTACAGAAAGTCACTTTGAGTTGTAGATCTTTCCCTTGTTTATGAAAGTACTATATTTTTTTTCTTTGGGGAAATGAGTAACTGTCTAAGCTACAAAAAAAAAAAAAAAGAAAGAAAAAAATTATCTTCCATGCAGCATTAGGCTCATCACTCTAGTTTAAAGAAGTTTCCACTTACGGTTATAGCACCAGATGTTAAAATTGCTTCATTGTCTAACCATCCAAAACAAAAGCAGATTTTGTTGACCTCAGTCTTTGAAAGTTTGTCTCTTAGAATTATGTCACAAGTCAGATGCACAAATCATCAAATTTATGGGATAACTGAAAACTGAGCTGTAGTTGTTTATGTTCTTATAGCATTAAAATATAAAATATATAAATGCATGATTTTATATCTATATAGGTGTAATTTATTTATGTTATTACTTTTAAATGTTTCAGGTATCTGAGATGGCATAAGTCTGAAGTCATGCAGTATAGAGATTATCCTGTAGAGAAATATATCAAAGGAAACATCCTGCCGCTAGTTACCTTTGGAGGGCTGATACCATGAAGGGGGTCTGTAGAGAAAAAAACTGCATCTTCAATTAAGATCACAAGCTAACGGTGCCAGTTCCAAATGCTATCTGCACTAAGTAGAATAATGTCCTTTCAAGATTCTCATCCACCTGAAACGTCAGAAGCTGGCCTTATTTGGAAATAAGGTTTTTGGACATGTAACCAAGTAAGATGAGGTCATAATGAATTAGGGAAAGCCCTAATCCAATGACTGATGTCTTTATAAGAAGAGAGAAATATGAGCACAGAGATGCACAGAGGGGCAGGGAAGAAGGATATATGAAGACAGAGGTAGAGTTGGGGTGATACAACTGTAAGCCAAGGATCACCAAAGATTAAAGGGCAGGAGCTAGGAGGCAGGCAGGAAAAGATCCTCTCCTTGATCTTTTAGAGAGTGACACTTCTGACATTTCAATTTCAGACTTGTAGCCTCCAGAGTTGTGAGAAAATAAATTTCTGTTATTTTTGTCATACAGTCTTATTTAAAGCCATTGTACTTTGTTACAGCAGCCTTAAGGAACAAGTACACTACCCTAGAACAACACTTCGAATGTAGAACTGCTTCATGAAGTTTCCTTAGGCAAGCAGAAGACAGAAGTGGAGCTAAGTGAGGGCTACCTGAGAACTAATGCCCTAAAATATCACTGGGAAAGATAAAGTGAGAGTGCTCAAGGTCTGTGACAGGTGAAATCAAATTAAAGACAAATAATTCCTGGTACTCTGTGTAGCAGTAAGTTTATTTTCAAACCTAGAGGATGAGAAGGAATAGAATATAAAATTGGAGGCAGGGATAGACAACAGCGATTGAAGCATGTTTTAAATTGTGTGAAAGGTGTTTTTAGGATCATACTCTTGGATATCCAAAGAGTTGAATATGAGAGAGTAGCACTCATTCTTAGTGTTCTTTCTAGAAAAAAATTTAAATGAAAAATTAAGGTCAGGAACTGGTGTATTATCACTGGATTATTATATTGTCATGTTTGTTTGTGAGGTTTTGGTTTCTTAGTGTTTCCTGTTGAAATTATTTTTTTTTTAATATTTCAACCTTGCCTTGAATGAACAAGGAGAACTTATTTTACACATACTGGAGGTTCCTTCAAGTTTCATTTATCCAGTGTCCAGGTAAGAGATTAAAGGTAGCTATTTCAACTCAAGAGACTGAAAGGACGGCATAGTTGCAATAGATACCAAGCAGGTACAAGAGAGTCAGATTTGATGTGTTTAATCAATTTAGGTCTGAGGTTTTCCCTCACACTTTCAGATAGCCAGATGCCAAATGGTTTTCATAGCTTTGATAGCTGGGTGATGTCTCTTGCCTGCTGGATAGCGAAAGCGCAACTACACCTGAAGATGACAAGGGTTTCTTTGCTTCCTGCTCAGGTACAAGTGAAGGTTTAAGGAATGACAGCTTGTGCATCCTTTGGGGGTATATTTTATCTGCCTCATGCTGACAAATCATTCTGAGTATTTATAACCATTTGGGCTTTACCATTTTTCTGTCTGGCTCTGAAATGTCCTAATTATTTTAGCCTTGATTGAGTATCACGTCAGTATGGCTCAGTCGTTCAGTCGTGTCTGACTGTTTGTCACCCCATGGACCGCAGCACACCAGGCCTCCCTGTCCATCATCAACTCCCGGATTTACCCAAACTCATGTCCACTGAGTCAGTGATGCCAGCCAACCATCTCATCCTCTGTCATCCCTTTCTCCTCCTGCCCTCTATCTTTCCCAGCATCAGGGTCTTTTCCAATGAGTCAGCTCTCCGCATCAGGGGGACAAAGTATTGGAGTTTCAGCTTCAGCATCAGTCCTCCCAATGAACAGCCAGGACTGATCTCCTTTAGGATGGACTGGTTGGATCTCCTTGCAGTCCAAGGGACTCTCAAGAGTCTTCTCCAACACCACAGTTCAAAAGCATCAATTCTTCAGTGCTCAGCTTTATTTAGAGTCCATCCATACATGGACTCACATCCATACATGACCACTGGAAAAACCATAGCCTTGACTAGATGGACCTTTGTTGGCAAAGTAATGTCTCTGCTTTTTAATATGCTGTCTAGGTTGGTTATAACTTTCCTTCCAAGGAGTAAACGTCTTTTAATTTCATGGCTGCAGTGACCATCTGCAATGATTTTGGAGACCAGTAAAATAAAGTCAGCCACTGTTTCCCCATCTATTTGCCATGAAGTGATGGAACTGGATGCTATCATCTTAGCTTTCTGAATGTTGAGCTTTAAGCCAACTTTTTCACACTCCTCTTTCACTTTCATCAAGAGGCTCTTTCGTTCCTCTTCACTTTCTGCCATAAGGGTGGTGTCATCTCCATATCTGAGGTTATTGATATTTCTCCCAGCAATCTTGATTCCAGCTTGTGCTTCATCCAGCCCAGTGTTTCTCGTGATGCACTCTGCATATAAGTTAAATAAGCAGGGTGACAATATACAGCCTTGACGTACTCCTTTTCCTATTTGCAACCAGTCTGTTGTTCCATGTCCAGTTCTAACTGTTGCTTCCTGAGCCACATACTGATTTCTCAAGAGGCAGGTCAGGTGGTCTGGTATTTCTATCACTTTCAGTATTTTCCACTGTTTATTGTGATCCACACAGTCAAAGGCTTTGGCCTAGTCAGTAAAGCAGAAATAGTTGTTTTTCTGGAACTCTCTTCCATTTTCGATCACTCAACAGATGTTTGCAATTTGATCTCTGGTTTTTCTGCCTTTTCTAAAACTAGCTTGAACTTGTGGAAATTCACAGTTCACGTATTGCTGAAGCCTGGCTCGGAGAATTTTGAGCATTACTTTACTAGCGTGTGAGATGAATGCAATGGTGCGGTAGTTTGAGCATTCTTTGACACTGCCTTTCTTAGGGATTGGAATGAAAACTGACCTTTTCCAGTCCTGTGGCCACTGCTGAGTTTTCCAAATTTGCTGGCAGATTGAGTGCTGCACTTTCACAGCATCGTCTTTTAGGATTTGAAATAGCTCAATCTGAATTCCATCATGTCTGCTAGCTTTGTTCCTAGTGATGTTTCCAAAGGCCCACTTGAAATCACATTCCAGGATGCCTGGCTCTAGATGAGTGATCGCACCATCATGATTATCTGGGTCGTGAAGGTCTTCTTTGCACAGCTCTGTGTGTTCCCCCTCTGTGTATTCTTCTGTGTCCCCCCTCCTTTCCCTCCTCCTCCCTCTTCCTCCTCCTCCTCAGATTTCTTATCAACTACTTAAGAATTAACTCTGTCAATTACCATATATAGTATTACACATTTATTAAATCGTTTATTCTTCACGTAGCTAGCTACTCTATCTTTACCCACACTCTGTAGATTTTGAACTGAGACAAAATAGACTGGCTAAGTCACTTAGCCAAGATCGTTTGGCTAATAAATAATGGAGCTAGGGTGTGAACTCAGGCGATCCAGCTCCAGGCTCTGGATACTTAATCACCCTATCATATTGCTTAATGGTGCAGGAAAGAGTAGGTATTACCAACTTTTAAATTTTCACTAATATGACCAGTGAAAACAATGAGTCATTTGGAGGTTTTTTTGTTTTTTAATAAGTGAAATTAAGTATGTTTTCATGTTTGTTTACCATATCTATTAGTTTTCTTGTAAACTACTTTGTCATATATCAGTATTTGTGTGGTTTTGCATGGAGTTACTCAAGTTTCTTAGTAATTTTTGCAAACTCTTAATTAAAATAAACAAAAAACAGCAGTACTTTGTCATGTGTTGCATATATTTTCCAGAGAAAAGTTGTATGTCTTTATACATTTAAATTTATTAATTTTTGGTTTCTAGATTCAATTTTCTTCTTGAAAATTTTATTTTATTCAATTTTTCTATTTTAAGAATTACAAGAGTTCGGAGGAAGGGGAAATTATTTCTGGCTTTCATAATTAGACAGGAAGGTTGTATTTAAGATACAACTTAAATATTTTCAACTGAAAGGCTGATAGGATTTTTATAGCCTGAAAATAGCTGAGAAGAGGAAGGCAGGTGGGTGGAAAAGGCCATATATGGATAAAGAAATAGCAGAACAATCTGCCTCAGGCTAACTGTCTGGGTAAATAGGAAGAAACGCATCCCTGATTGAATGATTACAGATACTGTCCTTGTGTGCAATCACTGGACATACGTATCTGAGGCCCTGCTATTGCCCACTTTTATTGATCTCGTTTGTCTAGAAACCTAGAAGCCCAGACACTAGAAAATGTGCAGTAATAACATGCAGGAATTAGTCCATGGAGGCTAAGAAAAGCCTTACAGTCTTTGCCTGTGACCTGGAAGACACTTAGGTCTGTTCATGAAATATCTGCAATTTTTTTTTTTCCTAAACCAACTTCCCCCTAAACAAGAACCAAGAATAGAAGACACCATTCTATATAAAGTTACAATTCTCTTGTACAAATGGCAATAGCCTGATAAAGTGACTTTCATAGAGTGTCTAATGTATTGGTTTACAGATGAAGAGATATCATTTGATTTTTTTTCTCACTCTGACATTTGTTGATTTTAATATCCATGACAGCTTTCAAGAGCACACTGCCTTCTACCCTATGTCTGAATAAAATAAATAAAAGATTAGGAGACTATTACTTGTTTGATCAATTTGTATGAGCCCAGCTGTTAGAACTTTGAGCATTAATTAAGATAAGGGGGAAAAATTGGCCTCTCTGTCTGGGCCCTTCTACTGTGTTGTTCTACCAATTATATTAGATAGGTACAAAAGTAATTGCAATTTTGGATCATGGATTATAAATCATTAAAACTAGGCTCAAACACATCTTTATTAATTAAACTAGGAACCATTACAATAAACACTTTTTTTTTTTTTTGCCAACGCAAAATAAGTTTATTGCTGTGGCATTGAAATCCATCCTTTGGGAGTCAACGAACTCTTGAAAAGCATTTTCTGCATTCTGCTGGTTGTGGAAGCATTTTCCCTGCAAAAAATCATCAAGATACTTGAAGAAGTGGTAGTCAGTTGGCAAGAAGTCAGGTGAATATGGCAGATGAAGCAAAACATTGTAACCTAATTTGTTCAACTTTTGAAGCATTGGTTCTGCCATGTGCGGTCAGACATTGTGGTGGAGAATTGAGCCCTTTCTGTTGACCAGTGCTGGCTTTAGGCATTGTAGTTTTTGGTGCATCACATTGATTTGCTAAGCATACTTCTCAGATGTAATGGCTTCACTGGGATTCAGGAAGCAGACCGACAGCAGACCACCCAGCCATGACCAGGACCGTTTTCTGGTGCAAGTTTGGCTTTGAAAAGTGCTTTGGAGCTTCTTTCCAGTCCAGTCACTGAGATAGTTACCACTGGCTGTCATGTAAAATCCACTTTTGTTGCATGTCACAGTTGTGCGATCACATCATGATCACAAGTCCGATCAAGAAATGATTCATTGCCCAATCAAGAAATGGTTCGTTGTTGCCTAGAATAAGAGAAGACAACACTTTAAAAAGATTTTTTTTTTTCTGTCAGTTCATGAGGCACCCACTTACCAAGGTTTTTTACTTTTCCAATTTGCTCCAAATGCCAAACGATCGTAGAATGGCCGATGTTTGGTTCTTTGGCAACTTCTGTAGTTGTAAGAGGATCGAAGCTGCAAGAGGATCAGCTTCGATGATTTTTTTGCTAATGACTTATTACTTGCTGTTTACTTTATATTTATTTTAGACTCTAGAAATGGTGTTAGACAAAAAGCAAATTTTTTTCTTTTTGTTGGTTGTTGTCAACTTCTGATGGCCAGTCACTGCACTTCTCATCTTCAAGGCTCTCATCTCCTTTGCAAAACTTTTGAACCACCACTGCCCTGTAGGTTCATTAGCAGTTCCTGGGCCAAATGTGTTGTTGATTTTGTGAGTTGTCTCTGCTGCTTTACAGCCCATTTTGAACTTGAATAAGAAAATCACTCGAATTTGCTTTATGTCTAACATCATTTCTAGAGTCTAAAATAAATATAAAGTAAACACAAGTAATAAGTCATTAGCAAAAAAAAAAAACACAGAAAACAAACATAAAGCAAGAATGTGGATTAAAATAAAGTATAACATAACTACATTTATTAAGAATATACTCCAATATCAAACAGCAAATTTCAATAGTGTACAAACCACAGTTAGTTTTGCACCAACCTAATAGTTTATGGAAAAATCAGGTGGAGGAAATATTTGGCAGTAATGAGGCATCTGACAGGGAAAATGAGCGTAATTCAATTCTGAGAGCATCTTGGTTCTCTGGCCTTATTCATAAATTCTGTCTTGTTTTCTTCGCTTTTTTCCTCTTTCTCTGTTTTCTGATTATTCTTCAATCCCCTTTTCTCTTCCAGTTATATAAAATATCAGTCAAAATGATTTTTTCCCTAAGGTATGGAGGCAGTTGATAATATTTATTGAAATTATACTTTTGCATTTTAAGCTTTCTCTGAGAATTGACCCAGGTTTGAGTTAGTTTTACTGGACAGTTCCTTATACAAAATATTCATATAAAATTCTCTAATGGGAAAACATAGCATCAAGTGAAAACCCAAAAACATAACTGAAAATAGAAAAGATTTCAATATATCCATGAAAAAAAACATGTATTTAATTGGAAAAAGGCAGGTGTGCATAGAGCCAAGCTGCTCTTCAACCCTGTTCCAACTGAACTGACTTACTGAGGCGTTGACGCTGGCCCTGGGGAGCGCCTCCTCCGAGTTCAGAGCCAGTTACAAATGTGTTTTCGGTCAAACATAATTACTGGAATGCAAACATAATGTTTGCCATCCAAGACCTTTGCAACATGAAACTGCAGATTAGCTTGCACTGAAGGCCTTTCGAGTGAAGATCAGTCTGAAAAGATTTTGTGGGAAATATCATGTAGCGAACCAGATAGAGGAATTGGACTCTGGATCCAGTTGGCAGCTGCTCTTTTATACAAGCAGCAGCCTCAGCTCTTACATGTTTTCCTCATTAATATGACAGAGGTGAGCCAAGATAAGGAGGAGGGTATTATCTCTATCTCTACTGTAATATCAGTGCCCTGTTTAATATTTTGGGACAGGATTAGGCTCAATTTCCAAGGAGGAATTTATACAATAATGAACTTAATCTGTGTTTAATAAGGTTTCTGTTCTTCTGTGTTCACTGTAATGTGGAAGTAATTGCGGTCTGCCTACACAGAGGTCCCCACTGTCTCACATCGCAGGAAGGGACGTATCTCCAGAGCTCCAGCCGACATCACACAGTGGTACACATCACTGGTGGTTGCACGTGGCTGACTGCCTTTGCAGATTGGGTTAAAACTGACAGAGCATTTCTTCCCCATCTGATAATGCCTGATACAACTGGGTTTCAATATATTAACAGTTTACTAATCTCCATGGAATCCAAGTTTCCAGAAATACTCTGTGATTTGTATCCTACTTTCTTTCCTTGGTGGCTCAGCTGGTAAAGAATCTGACTGCAATGCGGGAGACCTGGGTTCTCTCCCTGGGTTGGGAAGATCCCCTGGAGAAGGGAACGGCTACCCACTCCAGTATTCTGACCTGGAGAATTCCATGGACTGTTTAGTCCATGGGGTCCTAAAGAATTGGACATGACTGAGCGACTTTCACTTTGTATCCTACCTCATAATGCTTATATAGTATGCACAGTATTATATAGTATTCTGTATTAATAGCAAAATTAGTATGCTTGCCTTTGGAATACACACACACACACACACACACACACACACTTACAAACATATTCATATGTACATGTTTGTATATATGAATATAGAAAAGGTGCCTGAATGTCGTCACTTCAGTTGTGTCTGACTCTTTG